TATAAAGACATTGAGTCTGTCAGCTGTCTCTCCCCTTCTTCTTCTTCTTTTTCCTGCTCCTCACCCAATATTTCCCATCTTCTCCCCTCTGAAGTCTCTGAACAATGACCTTCTGCAAACCACTGTTGTAAATCTATACTGTCTCCCTCTTGTCTTGTCATTCCAGTCCCTGACAGCAGCTGGGAATGAATCTGTCTCTTCATCTTACAGACCCAACCTCCACTTCATCTGTGTTTTCCTTCACGGAATCTAGACACAGGCAAACTGCTCTTTAGCCCTCTTCTCCCCAAAGCATTACTATTATTTATTAAATTTGTATACCGCTCTTCATCCGAAGATCTCAGGGTGGTGCATAACATGAAAACACAAAATGAGAACACGAAATACATTTAAACCCCCCCACATAATACTAAAAAGGAAACAGAGGCTTTGGCATCCTGGCTGCATTCTTCCTGCATGTAAGCCATCATACAGTTAAATGATTAGGATGGCTTTATGTATTCACTGCCCTTCTGACTAGGTTTCCCCTCTGGGCAGCTTCCAACAAATATAAAAGCATAATAAAACATGAAACATTAAAAACTACCTTCGGCAAAAGGTCCTGCCACTTCATAAACCTAGAACAAGGGTCGCCCACCTGGTTCCCTCCAGATATTTGTTGAACTACAGTTCCCATCAGCCCCAACCATCACATCCAATGGGAATTGTAGTCCGACAACACCGTGAGGTCACCAGGTTGACTACCCCTGCTTTAGGACACCCCTCCCAGTTCACTGAGAGTCTGTGACAAACACATGGGAGCATTCCTCAGCAAATCAAAGAGATAAATTTCCCACAACCTCTCTGAGCGACCTCCCGGTTGCTGCATGCAAATTGGTGGGTGGGGCCAGAGGCCAGAGTGGGCAGGGCAATGGATGTAAATTTTGTGGGACATTATTGCAGTCGAACCAACAATTCATGCCTTGTCAGATGGGCACATGTGGAGGCTGAGGCTCACAGAGTTTTCCTGTAAATTTGCTAGAGAGAACTCTGTGAGATCACTTCCTTTTCCTGCCTTGGCAGGCAGCTGTATATCACGACATACTTCCTTCCTGCCTGGGCATCAGTCTCTTTCTTCATGATGCTTCCAAGCCGGCCTCATGGGCATGTTTGAATTTACATTTTGTATTTTTGTAACTTCGATAGCAGCTTTAAACCTGCCTTCATTTTGCTACTGTAAACAGCAACTTCAAGACCTAGGTTATGTAAGGAAATACTTTTATTTCATCATTAAGCAATGTGTTTTATTGTTTTTAAGGGGGAGAAAAGGGGTAATACCAGGAAAATCCAGTCTGCCTTAAAGCATCCTAGATTATTGTTAGTAGAATGTTAGAATCAGCCTTGTCTTAGCTTCCAAGTTTAAGCTAAATCTCTTCCACAATTTTTTACATTTGTATGGAAGACTAGTCCACACACTCAAATGCTTTTCTCTGCCTTCTATCTGGACAAGCAAGCTACAGTATCGGAGCTCCTGGGCACATTCCTGGCAGGGTAGAACATTCCAGAAAGGGTGCAAAGCAGGGCTGGTGAGGAGGTGTGGCCAGAGGAGAATGGGGGTGTGGCCTGGAGGCCGCATTTGGCCTCTGAGGTCAGAGAGTCGCCCTCCCTCCTATAAGCATTGGTGGACTTTAGACTCTCAAATTTCAGTTGCGCCCTGTGTGGCGCTAAAATTTGGCACTCCCTGCAGTGCGCCTCTCGTGCTCTGTTCTACAGTGTTGTTTTTGTGCCTCCTGCAGCGCGGTGCCCAGGTCGGCTGCACCGGTCGCTCTACCCAAAAACCACCTCTGCTGTAAGCCACACAGCTCATGCACAATCTGCACTGGTACCCACACGAGAGAACAGGAGGCTCATAGAGCTAGAAGTCAAACTGCTCCTGCTGTGGCTGTAGAGACCGATACAGGAGAGACATGTTTTGTTGCAGCTGGGGCAGATGAAGGCGTCCGGTTGTGCTGCTGCAGATGCACCATAGCATTTCTTCTCTCTGCGCTCCTCCCAGCGGTCATTCCTCCTCTGGATATGGATATCCAGATATGGATACACAACCTGACTGCCTGTCTCCAGGTGCTGCGGTCGTCTGCGAGGGATTCCCACACGGTGGGGTTGGTGCTGCCAGCCTTCATGCCACGTTTGAAGATGGTCTTCATGACACAGAATTGGTGTGCCAACAGGCCTGGTGCCAGAAGCATCCTTGGGGATCCTGCCATCTTCCATTCTGTGGACCTGACCAAGCCAGCGCAGACGTCACCAAGACAGGAGTGCGAACATGCTGGGAACGTGGACTTGGGAGAGCACATCATTATATGAGACTGTCCTTGCACCCGCCATTGCGTACTCCTCCATTGTGTCCCAGAACAGACGGATGCCAACAACATCTTTTTTTTTTAATATGCTTTTTATTAAGTTTTCATTTTAAATACACTAACACGAACAAACAAATATTCCAGGTCTTTTTACATCTGTCTTACTTTATGCTCCATAGAGCCGTTGACTTCCCTCCTTCCCTTCTGCAGTTTTTCTTATTCCAATCCTTAATTCACAGCTTCATTAACAGAAAACTAAACCATGACATAAGATTTATTTCAGTCCTGCTAACGTCTTCAAATTTCTACAGTTATATATGTTGAATGGTTTCTTTAAATGTAAAGGTTCATCATTGTTCCACTCGATGTGTATGCCTTTAAGGGGCCAGAGCAAGGGCCAGAGCAAGATAACGAGACCCAGCTTTACAGCTGTGAAACATAGCAGGTGCTGCTGAGTTGTATTTGATTAAGGTGTGTCAGCAATTGGGTGTAGTATATAAGGAGCAGCACCTAGCTCTCCCATTACCCTGGGGGTTGGGTTGGTGGTTGGGTCTGGTTTGTTGTTGATGTATTTAGAGTAAATGGAGTTTTTGTTTTTCTTATTAAAACCTTGTTTAAGTTATTTTTGAGTCCCTTTTTAATCCACGGTCTCCCCAGCAAGCTCTCTGCAGCGCTACCATACTGCAAATAGCCAACAATATAGACCATAAGTTTATTCCATGCTTTTTGGTACAGTACTTTGTTTCCTCCTGAGCACAAATCCTATGTGTCAGCTTTGCTAATTCCGCGTACTCGACCAACTTTGTCTGCCACTCCTTTACAGTCGGTTATCTCCTGTGTCTTCCACTTTTGGGCTATCAAAACTCTGGCATCTGTCGTAGGATACATGTACTGTATAGTCTTTGGTCCGTCTTCTTAATGATGCCAACAACATCTTTACACTCGTGTCCCTCTTCCACAGAGCTGCATCCAAGTATGCAAGACAGCCTTGTCAGTTTCCCTGATGTCCTGCCTGTTGGGTTGTCCTTGTAGCTCAGGTTTTGCTACGCATAACCATTTATGGGGAAATGAAATCCCTCCACTGAAGGACAGGACCAGGGACTCAACTACTTTCACCAGAGACCAGATGGATGAATGGACAGCACGGAGAAAAATCTTCCCTTGACCTTGTCAGTTTCACTGGATGGAGAGAGGAAATAGCGGTGGGGCTGTTCGGCGGACAGATCACAGGGGCTGCGCTGTTACACATTGCTTGGCTACAGTGGCGTAGCGTGGGGGGTGCAGGGGGGCCCGGCCGCACCGGGCGCAACATCTGGGGTTAGGGCAAATCCACAGGTTAGGGGGCGCAAATCCACGGGTTAGGGGGTGCAAATCCACGGGTTAGGGGGCGCAAATTACTTGCCTTGCCCCGGGTGCGGACAACCCACGCTACGCCACTGCTTGGCTATCACCAAGATCATGGGTAGGCAAAGTGTAAAATTTAAGGTTAAACTGCGTTAAGATAAATTATAGAACAAAATCTGAGAAAGAGGGAAAGGACTTGCTGAAACAGCTAATTGAATTAGAATACAAAAAAGGGAGGTGTGAGGAAGTCGAGGAAATAAGTAAATGAAAGATAAAGATATGAAAATACTGGATGTGTTGTTTTTTTTAAAATGTTTTTGTTTTTAAATGTTTTTTCTCTTTTTATTGTTCTGCTGTGTTGTTTTTCTATTGTATTTCCTTTTATTTTTGAAATATTGTAACTTTTTATTGTTTGCCTTTTCTTTTCTTTTTTGTAATTGTTGAACTTTAATAAATATCATTAAAAATAAAATAAAAAGATCATGGGTAGGCAACCTAAGGCCTGGGGGCCAGATCCGGCCCAATCGCCTTCTAAATCTGGCCCGCAGACGGTCCGGGAATCAGTGTGTTTTTACATGAGTAGAATGTGTCCTTTTATTTAAAATGCATCTCTGGGTTATTTGTGGGGCATAGGAATTCGTTCATTCCCCCCCCCCCCAAAAAAAAATAGTCTGGCCCCTCACATGGTCTGAGGGACAGTGAACCGGCCCCCTGCTGAAAAAGTTTGACCAAGCTCATCGGGGGACAGGACAGCATCTCCATCTCTGGCCACAAGGCAATATGGACCAAGTGAGCTTTTTTTTTCTGAGATAGCTGTCAATGGGTGCAAGGAAAGCATGAATGGTTGCAATGCAAATTCACTAAGGTGTGTGTGTGGGGGGGGGGAGGGAGTAGGGGGATGAAAGGCATGAATCATTGAACTGAAGGGACCCCGAGGGTCATCCAGCCCCACCCTCTGCAATGCAGGAATGTTGATGGAGGTGCTTTCAGCCTGGGTGGTGCCGCTTCGCCAGGCAGGAAAGAAATCCTGCAATGCTAAACTTTTTAAAACCATGGCAGCAGCAGCAGCAGCAGTTCGTCCTGGGTGGCGCAGGGGTGGGTGTGCCCCCCATGAACAGATGTGCCTTGCCCTCTTCCTCCCCCCCCTCTCCTTTCTCTCCGTCCAATTTCCACCCGATCTCAAGACAAAAGCAGACAAGCATATAGGAACATAAACTTCTGCAGCATGAATAAGGGGATCAGGTTGCTCTCTTTCTCTCTCCCCCCCCACTCTTTCTTCCCCACGTGACTTTCTCAGGAATCTTTGCCAGCAATATCACCACCACAGCCCCTTTTCCCTGGGTCCATTTTCGCACTGCATGGGAGAGGGAGGTGGAGGAGAACCTCTTAAAAAAAAGAAAGGACGGAAGAAAGAAAGAAAGAAAGAAAGCCAGGAGCGAGGAAGAGAAGACGGACCTTGCCCCTCTCCCTCCTATGGAGAGTGGATTTCTACTACAGGCGCCTTGGAGAGTCTTTGCGGCTGCCTGCCTGCATGTGTGCCTGGTGGTATCTCTTTTGCAAATCACCTGCAGACTGAAATTATCCTCTCTGCTCCCAGGACGTATTGCAGGGGGAGCGTTTTAAAAAATCCCCTATTTCTGCGCGGATCTGCTACGCTAAAGGGGGAGAAATTCTACCATCTCACACGCGCGGCGAGGCGCAGGGAGGGGAGGGAAAGCCCCGCTTAAAAAAAACCAAAGCGCCTGCTGTGTTTTCTTTCTGGAGAAACGCCCCTCTTTCTCTCCCCCTCTCCCCAACCAGCCAGGCAGCCTCCCCTTGCTGCCTTCGCAGGAGAAGCGGCGTGAGAGGAGATCAGCTTCTGGAGGGGACCTGCAAAGTTTCCTCGAGGAGCCCCCCCAAAAGAGGGCGAGGAGTGGAAGAAGGATCCGGGCGGGGTGGGAAGGGGGCGCGCTTTGGCGCTGTGCCCGACCTAGGGCGCGTGGCGCGCCAGGCGGAGGGGATCCGCAAGATCCGAGGCGCCTTTGTGGGTGGCGCGGCGGCGGCGCCCCAAAGTGGACTTTGAAAAGGAGGGTGGGACTCAGAGAGAGAGAGAGAGAAAAAGCAGGAATTAAGAGGGCGAGGAGAGGGGCGAGAGGTCTCCTCGCCTCGGGGGTTTGTCGACCAATCGCTCCGCCGGGGGAACTTTGCCGGGCAGGGGGACAACTTGGAGAGGGCGGCAGCTCTCCGAAGAGACGCGCGGCGGCGGTGGCGGTTCTCGTCCTGCTGCTTTCCCCGGATCCGTCCCTGGGCGCAAAGGTGACCCACCGCCGGGTGATTTACGGCTGCTCTCTGCCCTACGGCTCGCCCGCACTGTAAATACGCGCTGGGGTCGCCAGAGCGCGGAGAGAGCCTCTTCCTCTCCACCAAGACTGGAGCGCAAGGCTGGGGCGCCACCTGACATCTCCACGAACCCCAAAAAACCAGGGGACTTTTCCCTTCCCGGAACCAAAAGCGTGTGTGTGTACCTGCTGTTAGTTTTGTTCCTGGGATAGAAAAAGGCTTTGATTCCCCCCCTAAAAGCTGCTTTCGGATGCTGCACGAAGCTCCTGCCGAGAGAAGGTCCTTTGGGGCTTAAGAAAAAAGAAACAATTTCCCCCCTTTTAAAATATAACCTCTGCTTAACTATGGATTTCCTGGCGGCGTGGATGCGTCTCCTGCTCGTCTTGGCTGCCTTTGCAGTTTTGCCCCATCAGGCTGAAGGTGAGTAAAAGCTTCAGCTCTGGACTTCATTGATTTCGCTTTACAGAGAGAAGTTGGGCCGCTTAATGAGATTCTGCGGCGAGGTTTTCCTGCTGAAGTTGGGCTGGGGATGATCTATGGGGCTGGCAGCGTCTTGCTTTTTTATTTTTAGTTTTTTTAAGCAACAAGCCCCACCACCATCACCACCTGAGAATCTCTGTGATCCTCTTGAGGAAGAATGCTTAGGGGACTCTCCCAAGAGCAAAAAATGCTGCTAAGTCTCTGTGTTAAGTTGCCCAGAGCATGCAACTCTTCTTGGCTTAAGAGCACAAGAAGTGCGTTGTAGGATCAGACTAAAGCGCTTAGGAAGATGCCTTATCACCAGTTCATCTAGCCTGGTATTGTCTACACTGACTTGCAGAAGCTCTCCGGGGTTTCAGGCAGGAATTCTTATTCCAGCCCTATCTGGGAATGGCGGGAATTGAACCTTCTGTGTGCAGAGCAGGTCTTCTGCCACAGATTGGTGGCTCTGTCATACAGATGGAGCTGGTTTATCCTGAGTCAGACCCTTGTTCTGTCTACTTCAGGATTGTTTTATGACAGGCTCCCTAGAGATGAGAGCTGCTCGACTCTCATGAGAAGTGCTGGAGGTTTTAAAGCAGAGGTTGGATGGCATCTGTTATGCATGATTTAGTTGAGATTTCTGCATTGTCTGGGGTTGGTCTAGATGACCCTCGGGTCCCTTCCAGCTTTCCAATTCTGTGACTCTATCTGTAGTCACTAGGGACAGTGAACCGGAGACCTTTTGCATGCAGCGCAGGTGCTCTACCACTGAGCCACACCCCTTCGAGGTCTGCTTAGCCCAGCAGCCACCAGAAATTGCACCCCAGTCTCCCTTACGGAACTATCTATTGCAGGCACCCCCAAACTTGGCCCTCCAGCTGTTTTGGGACTACAGTTCCCATCATCAATTCCCAGTGAGTCTACAATTCCCACTGGTCCTGTTAGCTAGGGATGATGGGAGTTGTAGTCCCAAAACATCTGGAGGGCCAAGTTTGGGGATGCCTGATCTAGTGTCTGCAAAGAGCATTTAATCAATTGGATCAAGCCTAGGCCCCCTCCCTTATCATTTTTGCACAGGCAGTGTAAAGAGCGTGGCAGCAAACTTGCCAAATGTGTGGTTGTTCGTTCTTTTTTTACAACATCGTGCCCTGAACATCTTTGAACTACTTACTTCAACACTCGGTACTCCCTTCCAAAGTTCTGCCTTTAGGTGGCACACCTTGAAAAGCAGAATGCTTTCCATGCCCTCTGATTTCCAAATTGCTCTTCAGTCTTGCCAGAATATGTCATGCGCCAGCACTGTGAACCTAGGAAGCTCCTTTACCCTGAGTCGGACCATCAAGCTTAGTGTTGTCTGCACTGGCTGGCAGCAGCTCACCAGGGTTTCAGGTAGGAGTCTCTCCCAGTCTTACCTCGAGATGCCAGGGGTTGAGCCTGAGACCTCCTGTGTGCACTGGGATGCTGCTCCACTGGGATGCAGTCCTTCCCAAGGGGTAGAATCATGGAATTGTAGAATCGAGATGGAAGGGATCCAAGGGTCATCTAGTCCAACCCCCTGCAATGCAGGAATATGCAGCTGTCCCAAACGGGTATCGAACCTGCAGCCTTGGCGATATCTGCACCATGCTCTAGCCAACTGAGCTTATCCAGGCTGCGTTTGTACATAAAGCTATGGACAGTCCCTAGCTTCCGGTGCACCTTTAATGGATGTGTAACCCACAATAGGGACACTGATCAGAAGGTCGCGGTTTGAATCCCTGCGACGGGGTGTGCTCCCATTGCTTGGTCCCTGCTCCTGCCAACCTAGCAGTTCGAAAGCATGAAGTACAAGTAGATAAATAGGTACCACTCCAGCGGGAAGGTAAATGGCATTTCTGTGCACTGCTCTGGTTCACCAGAAGCGGCTTAGTCATGCTGGCCACATGACCCGGAAGCCGTATGCTGGCTCCCTCAGCCAATAAAGCGAGATGAGCACCGCAACCCCAGAGTCGGCCACGACTGGACCTAATGGTCAGGGGTCCCTTTACCTTTACTTTAACCCACAACTGGCTGTTTAAAACCAGCTCCTTTATGCTTTCTGCCTGGCAGTAACGACATTCACACATGAGAAGCTCAAAGATGTTTGTCTGAAATCTCCGGGAGCTGAGACATCTTTGCCCCTGGCAGTTGCTGTTATGTTTAAGAGTTTTTTTGCTACATGTTCATTAGACACCAGAAACGAGAAGTGAAAACGTGACTCCCTATTTCCTAGTCCTTTTACTATTTTAACACCAGTTCTGCACTCAACAGTGTGCAAAATATGCCCGTGTGTCGGGAGGTCTTGCCGCCTGCATTAGGCATGCCAATATCAATTTTTAGACGCCTTGTTTGTTTGGAAAACCATCCATCAAGGCAGTGCGCGGTAAACATTACGGCTGACATTACTTCGGCATGGACTACCCACCGATCCCGCCTGTTCCTGGAGCGCATGCAGGGAACAGTAAGATTTATTGCCGTCTCGGAGCAGCCTGGAGTGGAAAAAGTGGCTGGATGACATAAGGCCTGGAGAGTTTAATTGTGCATAAAAACTCTCTTACCTGCTCTCATGCTCAAGTCCCCCCCTTCTTACTCCAAGAGTCGTTTCATCCACAACAGCCACATTTCTGATCCCAGCTTCGTGCTATGCTGCCATTTGACCTGGGTGCGTGCTCGATTTCTCTTACTTCACCCAATAATCTCTAGTTCTTTGATTTCTCTGAACTCTGCGATTCTCTGCTGAACTCGTGAGCTGGCTCACAGAGTCCTTGCTTGATGCCACAGTCAGAGGTGATGCGAGCATGGACCGGTCATCAAAGTACCAAGGAGAGGGTTGTAGCTCAGAGGTATAGCATCTGCCTTGCAAGCCGAAGGTCCCAAGTTCAGTCACCAGGTAGGGGGGAAAAATGCCTGAAATCTTGGGGGAGTTGCTGGCAGTCAGTGTGGACACTACAGTGGTACCTTGGTTCTCAAACACCTTGGTACTCAAACAACCCAAACACTGCAAACCTGGAAGTAAGTGTTCCGGTTTGCAGACTTTTTTTTGGAAGTTGAACGTACTCTGTTTTGAGTGTTACACTTCTGATTTGAGTGCTAACGCTGAGGTCTTGTCTCTTTTTGCTATTTATTTTGTGTGTGTTTTTTGTAGCTCTTTTTGTTTTTGTGACGGTGTGGAACCCAGTTCAGCTACTGACTGATTGTGTGACTGCAGTACTTTGTTTATTGCTTTCAGTTTATGGATTATTGCTCAATGGTTAGATAGGAAAATTCATGTTAAATTGCAGTTTGAGGGGTTGTTTTTAAAAGTCTGGAAAGCGCGTCTGGAAAGCGCACCTTGGTTTTGGAACGCTTTGGTTTTGGAACGGACTTCCGGAACGGATTAAGTTTGAGAACCAAGGTACCACTGTACTAAGCTTGGTACATGGCAGCTTCCTATGATTTTTGCTGAGACGGCAAAATGTCCAGAAAAACCTGAATGTACGGCAAGTAGGGCAATTAAAATAATACTACTAATAAAAATGCTATAAAATGTTTTTTAAAGCCGAAAAAACTTACTGCTTCATTTTGATCCAAGTGAGAGCCCCCAGTAGAATTTTGTAAATCGATGCTCCTTTCTTTCGCTTGCTCACTTTCACCAGATTTCAGGCTCTTCAAATAAAGCGATTGGCTGGAGGTTAGAGATGAAGGGAGCCACTGTGCAAATTATAATTAACTTGTGGAACACGTTTCCACAGAATCTGATGATTCTCAGTAACTTGCAGGGTTTTTAGTTCATGGAGGATAGATCTATTTAAAAAACATTCATGGAGAACCAGTCTTTTAGCTATTAATGCTGAAAACTAAAACCTTTAAAAAAATTTCGAACCTCTCTCTACAGTGGCAGTCTCTATGTTGTTGTTTAGTCGTTTAGTCATGTCCGACTCTTTGTGACCCCATGGACCAGAGCACGCCAGGCACTCCTGTCTTCCACTGCCTCCCGCAGTTTGGTCAAATTCATGCTGGTAGCTTCGAGAACACTGTCCAACCATCTCATCCTCTGTCGTCCCCTTCTCCTTGTGCCCTCCATCTTTTCCAGGGAGTCTTCTCTTCTCATGAGGTGGCCAAAGTATTGGAGCCTCAGCTTCAGGATCTGTCCTTCCAGTGAGCACTCAGGGCTGATTTCCTTCAGAATGGAGAGGTTTGATCTTCTTGCAGTCCATGGGACTCTCAAGAGTCTCCTCCAGCACCATAATTCAAAAGCATCAATTCTTCGGCGATCAGCCTTCTTTATGGTCCAGCTCTCACTTCCATACATCACTACTGGGAAAACCATAGCTTTAACTATATGGACCTTTGTTGGCAAGGTGATGTCCCTGCTTTTTAAGATGCTGCCTAGGTTTGTCATTGCAGTCTATATGAGGACCAACAAAAGGACAAGGCTGCCACTTTCACACTCTGTTGTGAGCTCCTAGAAGCTCTTTTGGGGAAAATGCAGTTTGGGTACACATTAGCGTTTACTGTGGCCCCAGTGAGCTCACACAACCTTATCCACATTGAAGAGCTATCCCATAGTTTCTTGAGGAATGCCGCTGTTTGACGCATTTCCCGCCAAACCAGCTTTAACCAAAGCCACGTCCACTTTGCGGTTAAGCAGAGGTGCGTACATTTGAGAGAGCCACTGCGCATCATGCTCAGATTACACCTTCACGAACAGTGTGTGAATGCAGGGGGGCGGGGGAAGCCAAACAGGTCATGTGCAACAGGTGAAGGCACATGGAGTGTACAACAATGTGCAATCGCAACTTGAAATGCAGTGGGAAGGACCTCACTGGGTTTTAAACCACTGGTGTTCACATAACCACAGAGTTCAGGTGTCCTGATGGGATACGTTGCTTTAGCTCAATAACCATCAAAAGCTCTGCACATCCCTATTCTTTTGCTAACCTTCACTAACAAAATGTTGT